AATTTTATTTCTAGCTGTTATTTCACCCCATTTTAGGGTTTTTTCAAGATTTATTAGTATTTGATGGAAATGTAAACGTTAAATAATGCATCCTTGGCTCTTTGGCGGTGATGGCAAAATGCAGCCCATGAAGACAATGCATGTCTTTGAAAAGCAGTGTTTTACTCTAAATGTGAGTTTTTTTGGTTTGAGGAGACAGGGATGATGAGAGCTAGACTCGCCAGATTTTTTATTTTGCTTCATAAAGTTGGGGAATCCACCTCTGGGTCTTTTACTTACTGTGTCACTCAGAAGTAGGAAGGGTGATCTTGTCCTCAAGGTGAGGCCCAGATTTTGCCATTAAATTCTGTTATCACCGAGCTGGGTCGGGAGCCACGGGGCGAGGTGAGCTTCACCTTATACTCTACAAACTTAATTGGTGTCTGGATTTACAGTTGGAAATCCTAAACCCGGGCTGCAGGCTGCAGTTCCACACGGCTGTAATCCTTGCCTGGGTCCTGCCACGGGGATTTGAGCAGTGGATGCCAGCAAAGAAAAAGGAGCATAGCAGATTCTAACATGGAGCCTTAAGTAAATCAAGTCATCGCTTTAAGTAAAATATTCCTTGTAGTCTGTTCTTTGTTTGACTGCGCACACACAGCTGAGTTTTTGCCTGGAAAGAACCACAACTGGTGTTGATTTAATCCTTACAAATTTCAGTGATGATGTATAATTTCACCTGCTTTTTTTTTTGTGTGTGGGGTGTTGTTTTTTTTTCTGTCCCCAGGCTGTTGTCGTCACTGACGGAGAAAGAATATTGGGTCTGGGAGACCTAGGAGTGTATGGGATGGGAATTCCAGTAGGAAAACTGTGTTTGTATACAGCCTGTGCAGGAATACATCCAGACAAATGCTTGCCTGTGTGCATCGACGTTGGAACTGATAACACAGTGAGTTGACTGAACTTTGCCTGCCCTGAGTTATCCCCGTGAGAGGTGTTTATTTAAGAGTATTCAGTACTGCAAGAGGATATTTTTATTTGAGCACTTCTGTTTAAGACAAAGCCAGATATTTCACGTAAAGGGTAAGTGATCTGGAATTCACTCCACAGTTACGTATCAGTGACTGAAAAGTGCCGGTTAATTTGCCCCCGAAACGGGGCGTTTGGAGTGCTGGAAATGGGCCCGTGAAATAGGCAGTCAGCTTGGACCTGGGCTTTAAGAAGCTGGAAACGCGAGTCAGATTTATTAGAGCACTTCACTGTTCACTTGAAGTATTGATTTGTTCCATTTTGAGAGCATCCATCACCGTGCTGAAATCACAGGAGGTTGGCAGGGGCTGTATAAATGCAGTGCCTTCGGTGTGAAACGTGCCCCTGTGAACTCTGCAGAGCCCTGTGCCGAGGAAGTGACTCATCCTGCTGCTCTCTCTTTGATTTGTTCCTTTTTTTTTTTTTTTTTTTTTCCCAGACACTCTTAAAAGACCCGTTTTACATGGGCCTGTACCAGAAGAGGGATCGCTCGCAGGTCTACGATGACCTGATTGATGAATTTATGGAAGCCATTACAGACAGGTAGGACAACCAGTTTTCTGCACGGGAAGTGTGGCCAGAACTGCTGGCACAGAAAGACACACTGTCCTTGAAGCAGTCACTCAAGGAATAAGGAGAGGAGCAAGAGAGAACACAAGGCTGTATTTCTGGCCTTGCGGTGATTTTTCTCTGTGACCTAGAACACTCTGCTTTGTAGGTTATTTTGTTAAACAGGCACGGAACTGAAACAGGACTGTTTGTAGAAGTGGAAGGCCCGAGGGCATCCTGTTTCCAGAGATAATTGATTAGGTGAAGGATTTGTTTTAAATGGGCTGTCCTTCTTTCTGAGATAAGAATATTTGCCATGTTCTGTAGGTATGGCCAGAACACGCTTATCCAGTTTGAAGACTTTGGAAACCACAACGCTTTCCGTTTCTTAAGAAAATACAGAGAGAAATACTGCACCTTCAATGACGATATCCAAGGTATACCCTTTGTGTTCCTTAATTCCATGAGCACAGGCCTTTGCCTAAAACCACGTAGATCTGTTCAGCTCACCTTAGATTGGTGCTGCTTCTACAGGGACAGCTTCAGTGGCCTTGGCAGGACTGCTGGCAGCACAGAAGGCCACTGGCAGACCACTTACAGAGCAGAAGGTGCTGTTCCTTGGGGCAGGAGAGGTGAGTTCTCCTGAGGGCTCTGGAGCAACCACAGATTTTAGCTGTGTGTTTTCTCATTCCATAGGACTCATGGAGGGTTTGCATTCTCCGAATTTCATTGCAGGACTTTTCGTATGAGGCCAGCTGAAATAAGTTAGCAGAAGGGGCAACCTTAAAACAGGACTGTGTGAAAGGTGTTTTAGCTTTTGCAAGGGCTCAGGTTTTTCGTTTTCCTGCGTGGACTTGAAAAAAGTATCGGGGTCTTGTGTGTAGTCAGAGGGAAAATTACCATAAAGTTATGACTTACTGAGAACATCTTGTTAGTTTTAATAGCATAGAAGTACACAGTGCTTTTCTCAGCAGGTGAGGTCAGTGCGTGTTTGCAGCAGGCACCAGTCACTGGTGCAGCACTGTCAGGAGAAGCACTGCCTGTCCTTCTTGGTACATCAGCACAATTGCTTCTGTGGTGCTGACAAAATAACTTAATTAGCCGAAGGCCCTGATTGCAGTAATTGGCCAGTGTTGCACTGAGCTCTGCCTTATTTCTCCTGCCAGACCCAGCAGCGTGTGCAGCGGGCCAAGAGAAGGGACGCAGGGGGAAGCAGTGCCAGCCAGCATTTTCTTCCCTCAGCCCTCAGCGTCTCCTTTCTGCCCTCTGCAAGGCCCTTATGTTGGGCAGCAGGAACAGAGGGAAGTCTGGAGTTTTTGGAGCTGGGCACAGAGCACTACTCTGTGGTTTCTTGACGGGAGGGCTGCAGCACTGACTCGGTCTTGCTGCCTGGCTGGGCTGCTTTATTGTGGCTACTGAGCCACAGGAGCACAGCAGGAAAGCTGCGCCTCTGATTTTTTGCTTGAAGATGTGTCACTGTTGTCCCAGGAGTCTGCTCCCATTTTGGCAAGCATTCACTGTGTCTCAGAGCTGAAGGATTCTTGTGGGGATCTTGAACGGGGTGGCGTGTTTGCGATGACAGACCTCTCTTGTGACTGGTTAAAAATCGAAGTCCTTTTATCCACAAGGCTGCCCTGGGAATTGCAAACCTCATTGTTATGGCTATGGTGGAAAGTGGTGTTTCTGCCGAGGAAGCCTACGGAAGGATATGGATGTTTGACAAACACGGTTTGCTGGTCCAGGTAGGGGTGTGCTGTGCCTTGAAATACCACGGTACAGGTGACCGGTGGTCTCCCTGTGTCCTTCTCACAAAAATAACCGATGTTTCACCTAAAGGACCGAGAACAAAAGGTGGATTCCAACCAAGAACCGTTTACACACCGGGCTCCAGAGCAGATACCAAAGACGTTTGTAGAGGCGGTG